TGAATTTAAGTATTTTCCATTTTACATATACACTTCCATAAATTAAAAGGAATGAAGTTATTATAGTTAATATATGCAAATCGTTATCAAATCGTATATTTTCCTTTTCTTCCATTACATGCGTGCGATATATATAAATATATAAACTATGTTACATGCGTTATATGCGTCTCTAATTATTTTTCCCTAGCAAATTTCAGTTGAACCTAAAGCCGCCACGTCAGTTTAATTGATATGCTAATTGATTGACAACTAAGCAAGGTTACTTTTTAATTAATACAAACTTGAGGTTACATCTTTTCAAATGTTTCTCAATTAATATATAGGGGATTTGAAAAAAGGATGGACACGAAAACTCTATGTAAATAGGTTTTAAGGTTACTCTGTAACCAAAGAAATGGATCATCTATGTTACATCTAGTCCATTTGAGGGTTTGAGAGATGATTCAAGAATAGCATGTTCACATTCTATTCAAGTGAACATGCTAATTGCTATGTTTCCCATCGCCGGTTTGAGTTTTCCTTTTGTGATTAAAGATTTTGATTATTATTAGTGTTTTATAACGAGTTTTAGCTGAAATCCAATAAAAGGTACGCAACTTCTCTTCATAAATAACCAACTAGCAGTTTTTTGACAAGTCTGTCTCTCTTCTTGAACTTGAAAGAAGTTTATTGAAAGTGAATATGAATTTACCCACAAGTTGATTCTCTTAGAGATAGGATACATACACATCTATGTTTCATGCTAAAGATTTTTCTTGGTAAAAATTTAAGTATGTTTCATACTAAAGATAGAATACACTCTTATTAAAAATCAGTATGGATTGATATGATCGTGAGTATTGTCTTAGTTTTGTAAGAAACCAAAACAGAAGCAGATATATTGAACTTTGATGAGATCTTTCGCTATAAGTCTTACAATGCCCAAGCAGTTGTTTCAAAATTTCCGATACTTTACTAGTTATATGCTTTATCTTTTATAATAAAGAAGAACAAGTTGCAAATCAAATGTTGAAGCAAGTACCATTCAAATCCAAATTCGAACAAAGGACAGGATGGAAAAAGTGGGTGTGTCTGAGAGAGGCATGGCAATGAAATGTTTCAGAGTCCTCAATAAAAAAAAAGAGAGTAAATTGTCACTTCAATTCAAAGGAACCTTATTCTTTTTTTTTTGGCTTAGTATACAAAATTGAGATAAACATCCATTTACACACACTAATACAACTTTTAGCCAGATTCGGTGGATAAGTTTTAATTAATCTTATTCTTAGTATATGAAGCTGTCATTTCGAATTTGATTGTACCAAAAGTGTGTTTTAGCCAATATAATTTCATATACCGCCTCAGCTAATCTAGTCTAGTTACAAAATTTACAATATTATCATATACTAATTTTAAAATCTGATAAAATTATGCCTCTTCGAATTACTTTTTTTTTTAAGTATGATACAAAATATAACACAAAAAATGATCTTTTAACCATTTTTACTGTTAGAAAACAGTGTTCTGAAAATAACAAATTAAGAATTTTCTTGTATATTAGCAAAATTGATCACACTAGCAAAAATAATCTTATGATTTTACATTATCTACGTTGAAAATACTTTAATACTAACATTTATATATCCTTTTAACAGTAAAAAATCAAAACGGCGTAATATGAGTAGTGTTCGTCTCGTACGCAGACAAAGCAGACGCAGATGTATTCACTTTCAAAACCTTTATCAAATCTTTCGCCATCTGTCTCACCATCAACGAGCAGCTACTCTGAATCACCACCAACAACTTCGTAACGCCGTTACATCTCACCACAGTCTCCTCCGCCTTCTTATCCTCCCTAAACACATAGCATAAACACCACAAAATCGTCACCGCGTGCTCCGTCGCCGTCGTCGAGACTTTCAACAGCTTCCTCACCACTCCTTCCACGCACCTCCCTCCGTCTCCGCCGCAAATCTCCGATCTACCTTCCCGCTTTGAAGACAACGTCTCCAACAGTTTCAGCGCCTTCTCCGTCACGGAAACGGTCGTTGTCTCCGTTAGGAGAACGTCTTTGATCTTCGTGATCGCTTTCTCAGCTATTAGCTTCGATCTCACTCGTTTGGATGTCGAGATTGTGATTAAGAATGATAAACTCGCTTCCATCAAAGAAGCATCCGTCTCGGAGCTGATTGATTTGATCAGCTCCGAGACCATCCCTTCCCGTTCTGAGATGATCTCTTTTGACTTCGCGTCGAAAGAGATCATCTCCAAGACCCTAACGGACTCGATTTTAGTCTCCAGATTCCCGCGCTGAATCGCGAGGAGAAGCGCCGTTAAGCAACGGCCAACGTCCGTTAACATCAGATTCCATAACCGTTCACGATCTCTCTCACTCCTTCCCTTGATTATAGTATCCAAAATCATAATCGCCAGCAAACCTAACTTAATCTTCGCCGTCGCGCGTGTTCCGCCGTCCACGGCGGCGATGATATCAACGAGCATTGTCACGAAATTCTTTTCCCTCCAGAGAAACTCTCTGTTCTCGTCGGAGTCTTTCGCGAATCTAACGATTCTCGAAAGATTCTCCAAGCGAATGTTATCATCCTTCTCGAGACTCAGTCTCTTCAACGACTCATTCACTTCTTCCACCGTGAAAATCCCTCGAGGCGGAGAGCCACCGGCGTGACGGCCGACGGAGTCGGACCAGGTTTTGATAAGCCGTTGAAGAGTGAGGTTAGGAACGAAATCTTTAGTTCGGAGAATCTGCATAGTGGCGGGACAAGTGTTGTTGCCACCGTCGAGCCACCTCTGGATACTTGCACGGTCGTAGGTAACGCCGGTGCAGAGACTAACGGGAGATTTCATCACGTCGAGAGATATAGGACACCTGAAGAAGCTTGGTACTGAAATGCACGTCTCTGTTTCATCTCTCCCCATTGGTTTAGACTTTAGAGTGTGAAAAAAAAAAAATCAGAGAAAATATGGCGAGAAAATGCGGGAAAAATAAAGTTGGGAAGATGAAGAGACAACGGTGATGATGGTATTGGTTAAGTGGAAGGTGTGGGAAGGAAGTGAGTGGAGGTGGTTTTAAAGACAGAGTCAAACGCACGCTTGCGTCACCGTTTTGAACCCAAACATATTCTTTATACCCAAGACATGACAGTTTCAGATATATATATACACTTCTATAGTGGTGTGTATATAAAACGTTAACGAAATGAAAAATTCAATTGACAAGTGAGACATCAACTACATAAGAATATAATTTTGTATTTAATACGACATAATTAGATGTTGAGCTAATTTCTTTGGTCTTGGGTCAAAAGTAAACTCAAAGTTTGTCTGTGAGTGTCTTGCTCAGTCAAATGTTGTAGTAAGCGTTAGATTTGGATTGGTGGGAGCCTTGACCGACGGTGTGATTCTTACACACGTGTGAGTTAGGAAGCCAAAAGTGTGTGGATAATAGTGGGGCCGTATTCTGTATGAGGGCCTGGTCTGGTCTGAACTCGTCAAGAGGATGCACATGGACTTGGTCCATGTCTGTGTTCTTTTTATTACCATTTTTTATGAAATCACTTGATGTTATTATCAGCATGTTGAATGCAATTTATCTCTTTTGTTTTTCAAAAATTAGAAGTAATCAGTTTTAATAAATAATTAAGGCAAATTGAAAATTTAGCTATTTTTAATTGGTTTGAAAAAAATTAGAACGAAATTTAATTTAAAATGGAAAGAATATTAAGTAACAAATTGTGGTGTCGCTTCCACTACGGATAAAAGAAAAATATTAATTTTATTATTCCAGCGAAAATGTTTGATGCCGGGAGAAAAGCAAAAGCGTTTCTTTATTTTTTGTGTGGGTTGTCATATTCTGGTCAATACAATGTTTGTTAGATAATTTTACGGTGTGATGGGAAGAACGTATATAAATTGGAAAAGTATTCGAATATCCATAACATTTTAGTTGTCTAATAATATATGGTTAGACTGTCTGATTATCTAATAAAGCTGTATAATTGACTAACCAATTATGGGTTGCATTTAATATATTAACTACAGATACATGGATAATCAATATAATTTCTTTTAATTTTTAAAAGATTCAAATTAACAAAAGTTAAATAAAATTTTGAACCGTGTGCGTGAATGATAAAATCATGGTGACCGAAAGTTGCTGGCCTAGTAGAGAATAGTATATCACTTTTCTGGTCAACAAAATGTTTCAGTTTTTTTGGTCAACAAAATATATCAGTTTTCATAGGTAGCCTAGGAGATGGATGAAATCTCGCTGGCTCATACGAATCAATCACTTTTAATATTTGTGTAATAAGTTTCTCGTAGTTAGGTCAAGTTTTGATTAGGCTTAATTAACCTAAATAAGTAGAAAAGATCTTGAGTAATAGACAGCTTAAATGAGCGTAAGATTTATCATACTCTTACGAGATAACAGTTATTTCAACCCAACATATAACCCAACATATAACAATATGTTCATTTTATATCTATTTGGTTTATTCAAATAACATATATTTTATTTTTTGGTTAAACCATACACCAACTGCTGCATAATCTAATTTTTTTGACATAGATTATACGTCAACTAATTTTACTGACAAAGATATTACATATAGAATAAATATTTTAAAAACATAAAAATCATTCTATAAAATTATTTCTAAGAAAATGTAAACATTTATAATTTTCTTATTTAATAAAATTAACAAAAGTTAATTAAATTTTAGTCGTATATAAAAAAGATATTTGATATAATGCTTTGATTCTATTATAATATCATTCTTATAGAATCAAAGCATTATAACAAATATTTTTTTTCACATAAGACTAAAATTTAATTAACTTTTGTTAGTTTTACTAAATAATAAAAATTATAAATGTTTACATTTTCTTAGAAATAATTTTATGTTATATCATTCGTATAAGAGTTATATATGTATTATAATGACTCAAATTCAATAGTAGTATTACAGTCGTGTCACTCTCAATCAATCTTGATTAGGTTGTTTGTATTTAGAGAATTTAAATTAACATATCATAAATGTTTAATCTCTTTAAAAATAGTTCATATGATTACAATCCATAAAAAATCTATGCACACATAAACAAGATTAACATAAGAATATTTGATAAGATTAAAAACATTATAAATGATATAGATCTTCTATAATTTTAAGTTTTATAAGCTTTTTAATTTTACCAAACAGTAGTAAAAATTTATAAACATTTATATTTTAAAAATAATTATTGTGTAAAACTATTTTTGTTTTATTTTATTTTTAACATTCGTTTCACATAACATCTTCATAAAAATAATTCATTTAGTATCCACATCAAAAAATTAGATGATGTAACAACTGATACGGTAACTTGTGTATAATTTTACCAAAAAAAATATAGTTATTTGAATTTTTTTGAAGTACATATATATTTTTACACAGCAAAAAAAATTGGATATGAATTGAACATTGTGATATGTTGAGATAAAATGTCCGTCTTCTCAGATTTTACTTAAAATGTTAAAATAGAGTAGCTTTTGAAAAGATAGCACGTAATGAATTAAATATCTTTAGTTTAGAAGAATTCGTGGGTTAAATTATTTTTTTAGAATCCTTATAGTATTAAACGAATAAATTGAGTATATATTAACTCGTGAGCATATAATTTACCAATTACGACTTTGCTGAAAATATATGACTTCATAATTTGCGTATTTAGGGTAACATTGCACCGAAGGAAAGTTAAAACACAATGATGTGAATGTGCATCATTGTCTACAATTAGAAATTATGACAAATCGGTAAAAATCTGCGCAAATTTGCATAACTCACCTTTTAATAAATTACCTCATTCATCATCGCATTATCCATTATTGTTCTTGGTGGACAATAATTTTCGTTTGTCCTTAATTATATGTAAGGAACTTTTCTGTTCTTTTTTTTTTCTTTGCAAATAATGTTGCATATTTACTCGGGGAAATGGATTTCTCGTTAAGAAAAAATGTGTTGCTACAGAAAACTACAAATGTGAAATGGATAAAAGGTACTCTTTCCATTTCAAAGTGATCTATGTTTTGAAAAAAAATATTACAGAATATTTTTAATATATTTTAATACATTTTAAGTTGATATAAATAAATTAAATTTGATTTGATAAAATCGTGGAAATAGTTAATCACAAATAACTATATCTATAATCAAATTTTTAGATATTTTTAAACATGTGTGAAAATTCTTAAACATTTCTCATTTTCATATTTTTGTAACTATTCTCTTTTTCATTTGATTGGTAGAAAAATAGAGTAAATGAGAATAAAACACTCTTACTCTATAAATTTCTTTTAGTCACTATTAATTTTACTCTAATTCAACTAAACAATCACCCTTTAGGGTATATATACTTTAGTTATGGTATTATTCAGAGGTTGCCAGGAGTAAAGGCAACTAGTTTGCATCACAAGCCAAAGAAAAACATATCGATTGTCATGTTCCCATGCAAAGCCAACATCAGATCCAATTCTTAGTGAGTTGTATGAAATGTTTTTTCGATTTTTTTGTAGCGAGTTTAACAGATCTGACGACCAGCTTTTGTTCTTCAACTCATATACGGCACTAGGCAATATTGTTATGTTATACATTCTACTAAATATGTATTAGTTGTGGCTACCATTTGATAACAGAACTACAACCACATAGAGTGATAAGTCAGTTTGGAAAGGTGCTAATCACTTGGAATTTGAAATTTATTATCACAGATATACCGAAGTGTATGATCATGCTATACGAATATCTAATTCTTATTGTAAACAATCGGATCTGTCTGATATTAGTGAACATATGTCTCTAAGAGATTAGTAAGTTGGTCTCGACCTACAGGATATCCTCAGTTTATTAAGAAAAACATTTTGATAACATTATAGGATATTAATATTATAAATTTTATAGAACGAAGATAATAAATTTCTAATGATGAATATATTCACACGCTACGGCTAATTAAGGAAGATCATGAGGATGAAATGAGGAACCGTAAAGCAAATAATGCATAATGGTAATTCACTCGCGTGCGATTACATACAATTACATAACAAATTATTTTTGCTTATGTTATGGAATAAATATCATCTTTTTGTTCATTAATATACGGGAAATGTTTTGATCACACTTGTATGTAATTTAGATAAGTAAAATCTATAACTGGAAAAACAAAATCTATAATTGGAAGGATTGTTGAAAGGATTTCGCACGTACATACACATTTTCTTTTACTATACACATTTTCTTTTTAGTAAACGTGTCGCTATACATATCTAATACAATATTCTTGGTAAATATTTACTGTATATTATTAAAAATAAAAGTGAAAGTAGCCCAGTGGTTTACTGTGTGAAGATAATGCAATTTCACCTTATATAGATGAGGTATATCATTTTTAATCTTTTTTTTTTTTTTTTGCTAACCGAGTATCATAACCTCATCGAAGTGGTCCAGACTAGAGACTGAAGCGAGTAAGGACACTGTCAGGACGTCACCATGTGGCTCACCTATAACGGTCTTCGATCTCGGATGCTACAACCCATATGTAAATTCTGCAGTAGCCAAGACTCGAACCCAGAGGCAGGCACTACAGCTAGAACTCTATTACCACTAGACCAAAGCAACTTGGTTCATTTTTAATCCTTTATTTTATATCCATTCTGAAAATTATTTTTCTGAACAGAAAAATAAATCTCCAGGTCCAGTTTCATAATTTGCCTGGATTGGATACTATTTCTTTACATGATCAGTACACCGGTTGAATTTTACGGATTTTTATTGTTTTATTTAACGTTAGGTATCACTCTATATACGTTTAAGTTCAGCCCACAGTCTGAATTGTGCTTACTTAGATGCTATTTTATACATATATATATATATATATATATATATATATACATAATTTATTGTTACTAAATCACTAACTCTGTTACAAAAAAAAAAAAAAAAATCACTAACTCGTGTTACATTATCCAGGAAACTTTTTTCACTAAAGTGATATAAGTAACCATAATGGGTACTTAAATGGGCTTACATTTCATGATTAAAAGCATGGTAATTATGTTTTTTTCTTATCAAAGCAGAGCAAACTAATTATGTCTTAATTTCCACCGTTTATCTTTTTTTGTAATAAATAATCTGATATAGCTACGAAATAATCTGATATCGAATCAGCATGAAATTTGGCAATAGAAGTGGAACTATATACTCCAGTTAAATAGATAACCGACATGTTTGTGTAAGATTCGAGTTTATAGAGAAGTCTATCTATGTGCAAATTCCAACACCAATGAAACATATATAGATTATTAAATGTTCCATGAACGCCATGGTGTTATTGTTGTTTTTTTCTTTTTTTTTCTCTTTAAATTGGGAGGAGTTGGATTTTAGGTCCTAATCTTCCCCTAGATCCGGACCAGCTGGCATTAATACCATAGAGTAAAATATCCCTCCCAACAGAAATCGAACTAGAGACACAAAGGAACCAACTCATTCCTATTTCTTCTTAGATATTACAATTTTTATTCTATAATTATGGGAAAATAGTATTTTTGTTTGTTGAAAGAGAAGTAATTTTTATATGAAACAAATATTTAGAAGTATACATTCGAGTAAACTTCATTTTTATCATATTTTTTTCATTTTAGAAAAACATAATAAGGCTACGGAAAAAAATCGAATCCGAAAATTGGAACCGAACCTAAACGGATAAAAAAGAATCTGAACTGATCTGAACCCGACATAAATACCGAATGGATCTTGTTTTACGGTATTTCGGATTATGGGTTTTATCGGAACTGAACCCGAACTTAAATTGATATACAAAAGAATCCAAATTTTAAAATTTCACAGAAACTTATACCATATTCAATCTCAATTTTTAATATGTTTCCAAAACACATTAAGATATTATTGAGTACCTACAATAATTAGTTATTATATGAATAATTAACTCAAATACTTAGTCTAATATATGATTTTATTTGGTTAATATTAAAGTTTATGTTTGATATTACATTTGAAATTTCGTTACGAATAATTTGTTTTTAAGTTTAAACAATGTGTCGTTTTTTAAAGTTTAAATAGTATTTTTTACGTTTGTAGAATTGTTAGTTCTAACTGTTATTTTGTATGCTTACTTATGTGTGACTTTCGTTCATACAATATTTTGGTTTGTCATTAATTATGATATATTTATTGTTGCCACATATAGTTTAAATACAAATTTTATATGATTGATAAACGAGTTTCACAATTTTACTTTGAAGGACAATAATATAGTTTGAAAAAGCTAAATATACAAATTTATTAAAACGGTTAAAATATATTGAGGTTAATAGAGTATAAATTAGTATTTTTAGAATAGGTAATCAGATTAGTATGTGAAACCAAAACTATTTTGGGTTCAACCAGATCTTAAACATGTTACTAAATCCGAACCAAATCCGTTATAACCCGAACTGAATCTTATCTAAATTTTTATAAGATCCGAGTATGACTGAAATTCGTGAACCCAAAAATCCGAATGAACGCAAATCGAAACTGGATTAGGACCCCGATTGCCCAACCCTAAAACATAAAATACATTAGAAATGGGTTTTAATAATTTTCTCTGTAATTGTGGATAAAAATAATCATTTTATTTTATTTTATGCCATGAAGAAAATAATTTTGCATTGAATTAAACTTTCTCTATTACATATTTTTATTTATTTTAAAGAAAAGGTAAAATACATTAAAGATAGTTTAGTAAGTAGATATATAAGTCAACCAACTGGAAAATTTACTATCTTTATTAGAATGTTCAATTCGGTAAACGAATCAACTAAAACTGAATTAAAATAAAAAATAGTTTAATTTGCTAATAAAAAGAAATTGATGGATGTTATTTGTAAGAAATCCGACTATATAGATATAGTTTAATATAAAAACTGCTCAAAAAATCAAAGAACTAATTAATTAAAATTAATAGTATATTTATTTAGTATAAAACTGAATAAATCAAACTAATAATATATAAATCAAACCAAACAGGATTATATATTGTTTTAATATGATAGCAAATTTTTATTAACCAGAAATTGGACAGAACAATCTTGATTTAAATCACAAACTTTATTAAAGTAATTGGACTATCTTTGACAAAAAAAACACTTGTACAAATGGCTGGCTCATCAGACTCTACAAGTGGCACTAACCATATAAAATAACATTATTTAGTTATAAAATCTAAAGACAAGAAGCAAAATTTGAGAATATAATATAAAGGACAGAGGAACTTGTTCCCACTTTCTATCTCCCTAACCTTAACTTTTGGGACTAGGGACCCAAAAACCATTCTCTATTGACCATCCATATCGCTATTATAAACTATTAATTCTCGTTGTTCAAAAAAAAAAGAAGCTAGTATTAATCTCTGATCATTTATATTGTTCAATGCATTATCTAAACATTTTTCTGGATACCATTGTGTGATACAGTATAGTAGAACCTCTATAAATTAATACTCGATAAATTAATATAATTTTATAGTCCAAATCTCTATAAATTAATATAATTTTATAGTCCAAATTAAATTTTTGATTTAATTAGTATATCTATAAATTAATATCTCTCTAAATTAATATAAAAATAAAATTTTGGTGCAGTCCCAACATTATTAATTTATAGAGGTTTTACTATATATATAACGTATGCGTAGGATACGACGCTACGTCTAATGTATCAATGTTATTCAACAAAAGCAAATTTTATCAACTTAGAAACAGTTTTGGTAGGACAATTACATTTAAATAACTTTTCTATTATTTTATTTAAACTTAACTTAATTATTATTAAATATACAATAGCCTAAAACTAAGGAACTAACTAACTTATATATTTTTTATATAGTGAATTGAATTTATATCAACATAAAATTTAAGTAACTAATCAATTATATTTTATTTATTAATATAAAAAATTTCATGTCTATTAATTCATAGATATACAATTCTACTTTAATCTAAATACGAGAAAAAAAGTTTTCGGAACCTCACTAAATACATAATAATCTAATTATTAGATGTAATATTAAAATTAGATATATATATATATATAATATTTGAAAAATAAATATTAATAGTTAAATATTATTATTATTTAATAATGTGATAGAAATGACATGTAATTATTGATATTTTATGAGTATAATTTTATGGATTATTCCAACAAATATGTAAAATATATATCAATTACAAAATTAATTAAACAAAACATAAAATACACTTTAAATTATGTTTGCACGTTCATGTATCTGTTACAGTTGGGTATTTTAAATTTCGGTCATAGTTTATATCACATCATAAGTCTCCTTCTGATAAATTTAAACGTATTGAATTGGATTCGAAGATAATATTGATTTTATTAATCTTATTGTACTTAATTAAGATTTAAATCCTATTTTTAAATATCATTTCAAAAGAAATATAGAAAGGAATAGTTGGAGTAGATATTTATGTTTTAAATATTTATATGTGTGATTAATTTGGACATTGATATCAATATTTGGATTTTTGGTTTATTTTTTCGGATTACTTAGTTTTCGGGTTATCCATTCGGATTCGGCTAATAACATTTCAGTTTCAGATATATATTGTACCATCCTACAAAACTAGTTTTAGTATTTCAATACAAATCATTTTTCTAGTTTGAATTGGATTTCGATTTTGGTTTACAGATTTTATGCCCGTGTCTACTTTAAATAAAAATAAAATACGGTTTATAAAGTTTTCACCAAAAAAAGTATTCAGTGCTTCAAAATCTAGTTCCAATTAATTTCTTATACAATTTCATGTTACATTGAATTTAAAAAATTCGAGAGACAAATGACATCATAGAGTTGGTGAGAAGAAGTACGTACACTAGTTTTGGTATGTCAACATACGGTTTAAAAACTCCTGGATGGAGGGCAAAATCATTTACCTTTTCTGTGTGGAGATATTAGAAGTGGTAAATGTGTAACAAATACACTAGCAGAGATTGTGGGAAAATCCTTACATTGAATTCGTAAGTAACGTAGAAGAACAGAACAAGAAAAATGGTATTGTAGTGAATACTCAAAGAAATAAAAAGGTTAACACATGTCTAAAAATACCAATATTATCTCTTTTTTTGTTTTAATATTATCGTTTTCCTTATAGTCTGCTTCTCATGCCCCCCGGGCCACCTGACACTGCATGTATATAAAAGAATAAATTCCAAATCCATTACTTTCTATTATATAAAAAGGGATACATGTTGCTCAAAAAAAAAAGGGATACATCTTCCACGCAAAAGAGAAACATTTTTTTTATAAAAAATATATTTACACAAGTGATTGTTCAGTTCATGATTAATTATCAATTTATAAATTGCGGTAAATGAATATTCAGTTCCCTTTACTTTTTTTTTTGACAAAAAGTTCCCTTTACCTTTATTTAGTTTTATTGGCCATTATAATTGTTTCCAGCCAAATAGAGACCTATTCAAAAGGGGGGTTGCTTTCAAAAACTCATCTCTCTCTGAATCTTGCTGACCTCATTACTACTTGCCATCTTTTACTCTATCAAAAATCCTCAACCCACTTCCCCAAAACTGAAACAAACAAAAACAAACCTATTGATCTCTTCCTCTGATTCAGATTTGAAACCTAAAAATGGTTCCTACATATCCAAATTACTGGAGAAAAAGAACATCAGTAAACCCACAAGCTCTTCTTCCTCTGATGATCCTCTGCTTCTTCTTCATTCTCCACTGCGACGCCTCGAGAGCCTCGTCACCATCAAGTGTTTTCTACAGAAACCCCAATAATGATCACAACAAAGGCACCATGAGGAGAGGCCATTTCTTAGGGTTCTTGCCAAGACACTTCCCTGTTCCAGCTTCTGGTCCTTCACGAAAACACAACGACATTGGTCTACAAGCCTTGTTGTCTCCATAATCACACTTTTTCTCTCTAGAGTACTTTATATATAATATAATGTAATGGCTGCACTCATACACAAGATAACAACAGTAGAAGACCATTCATCGATCTCTGATGTTTGCTTTAACATGTACGTAAGGTTTCAGATGTTTGACCTCTTCTGATTGTTCCTCGATCTTTTTGTTATTTTTTGGTTTATGTAAACTTATTTAGAGTAGAAGTAAAAGATATTGTGGCTAGGTCTGGATTTGTTACCCTTACTATGTTTCTTTTGTATGTATATGTAATTAAAGTTTACGAGATGAGGTATTTGATGCAACAATCTCGTTACTTCCATACGTAATTAACATCTTTAGTAGTATTTTTTTCACCTAATTAATCATTTTATTGATTTCTGATACAAAGCTGCTGATAATTGCATTTTGTAAAGTTGAATTGGTAAAAAAATGGGAAAATCATAGTATTTTTTACTCGTTCAACCAATGAGCTATGAAAAGAAGAAACAAATGTCTTCTTTTTTTTTTTTTGTTCAAAGACAAAATGTCTTCTTAACTCTTATATTATTGGATAAATAATAAAACTATATTGATATACTACAGTTATATAGTGAGACAATAAGCCATGCATGAAGCTAATTTATATTTGTAAAATACAATGCAAAATAATAAAAAAGAAAAAATAGAAAAAGAGAAATAGGATAGTCCAAAAGATCACGCAAGGTTTATCAGCGTAAAAACGTAAATATAATAATAGCCTTCGTCATGTAGAGTGTTCAGTAAGCAGTAAACCCAACCCGCCACGCCCGGATTGATTTGACACTCGTTTACGTTTTCTTGATTTTTTGAAACATTAATTCACCCAAAAATTCTTAGCTCATTTTGCTCAACAAGCAATACTTTTAACCAGAATTCATATCTGCTTAAGCAAGTACGAGTATACATATAACAAACTAACATTTATAACGATTATTATATAAAAATTCAGATAAATCTTTGCATATATAATACATTTTTCACTTTTTTTTTTGTCTACAATACATTTTTCACTTTAAGTTGTTTATTAGCGCTCAATGGAAAACATGATTAAATAGAATATATATATATATATATATATATATATATATATTATAGAGTTTTAAAAGACCAACCTACACTAGACACAGAAGCCGAAAGATGTGCCGCCAAAAGATCGTACATAGAAAGAGCTCACCAAAACTATATACAGTAAGAAAATAAAGAGGCCTAAACAAAGTTAACGATTTTTATTGTTTTCCTTTTGATTACTTTACTATCTTCATACCTTACATTCACATATAAAATATATAATTATAACTCGAAAATTATGTAAAATGATGACTCGTTAAATTGGAAGAGTAATGGCGAGCATGGCATGATTCGTACGATATGATGGGTACGTATAGTGGCCGTAAAGAATGATTTGATTAATATCCGTTAATTCCGCCATCGGTTCTCAAATTACAAATACACGTATGTAATGTACCTTCTCAATTGGTCATTATTATATCACTTTACTAAAGCAATATTCACCACATTTTATTTAACTCTACTATATTTAATCAAATAACAAAAATTTAATCTACATTCTAATTAATCAAAAGTTGCACACTCATAAGTGGCTGTTCTATCTTGATTAACCGAATCTTTCCAAAGAGGAAAAAGTTAATCATACTTTAAGTTGATCAAAATAAGTGTAGATTAAAATAATTGTACTTGTACAACAATTGAAAAGCTCAAAACCGGACAATACCTAAAGCATTCTAAAGAGCGTTTTTTTTTCTTCCCAATGGGCATTTCTAAGTAAACCTGTTATATCAAAATTATAGAAAGAAGACCTTTTAAACTTAAGAAAAATCCGTACAAAATTTGTCTACACATAGTTATTAGTTAGTTTATTTTTCATAATATAAAACTGAATTACATAGTTAAATATATTCATATTATATGAAAGACTTTTTAATCTCTCAATACTGAAATCATCCTAACTTATTAGTTTTACTAATGATTCAATAATTTTTCTAAACAAAAAAAGTTCAAATCTTGAATCACTTAAAATGCAAATTATGTTGATTACCGGAAAAAAAAAATTATGTTGATTACCGGGAAAAACTTATATAAAATATCCAGCATTGTGCAAATAATATTGTCAAAACATGTTTCTCATAGAACTACTCATAGTGGTGCAATATGACGTAAATCTTCATAATTGAAAAAAATATCGATTGTAAAGCTGTGAATATATAATATTTATGATAGTTTTTAATAACATAAATTAACTATCACCAAATAATTCTCTCAAAATTGAAAATATTCTTACCTATTTCTGAAACGAAAATACATTTTTACAAGAAATCATTGCAGCTAATTGTTGGAGGTGGATCACACATCCATCAATGCCCAGCCCAATTTATTTAAGGTCCATCTTGGCCTAAACTTCGGAAGCTAACAAGCAAAAACTAAGATAATGTTTGTCTGACCAAGTGAGTCCGAGCCATCAATGACCAGGTTAGTCCAACTCGCTGAGAAAATTAAAGATGCCAAAAGCAATGTGACGAGCTCGAACCTAAATTCTAGACATGTGTACTGACTGGTCAGAGAGGTACGAATAATACAGTGATTCACATCAAATGTATAGGGACAAGGTGAGCTGAATCCGTGTCGAAATGAATGTATGACCTCATTTGGACAAAGACCAAATATATGATCTCATCATGAAGGATGACGAGCTATCTTTTGCCTTATCCGAGATGCTAAGAAGATTTTTGCTAAGCGAACAAATGACCGAAAGATCTGACAAAGCAGATAATAGAATTTAATCAGTGATCTCAATACTCGTATAAGAGCAAGCATGATTCAAATATCCAACTCCTCTTACTTTTATAACTCCTTTTTTACTTCAATTTATTTCTAATATAAACGAGATTTTAAATCTATTTTGTCCCTTAATCATTTCTTAAGCATAAAACTTAAACTCTCTCTTCCACTTACTTCAGGAGTCTTGCAGGCAAGTTTCAATACCTCACAATATCAAGACTTGATATACAATTTGCAGTCAATTTTGTATGCCAAAGAATACATGCTCTTACCGTAGCTGATTTTGGGTTGTTCAAGAGGATACTTCAATACGTTAAAGGAACGATACACATGGGTCTCAACATCCGCATAGACTCAAATCTGGTTCTCACTGAGTTTTGTGACTGGTCGGGTTGTAAGGAAACAAGCAGATCAACAACAAGTTTTTGCACATTACTTGGACCCAACTTGATCTCATGGTCCGCTAAAAGACAAGATACAACATCAAGTTCATGACCGAAGCTGAGTACTGTGCCTTGTCAACTACAGCTCGCGAAATCACTTGGCTCTCCTTCTTACTCAGAGACCTTGGAGTTCAACAGCTTGGTCCGACGTTATTGCAGTGCGATAACTTGTCTGCTGTCTACTTAAGTGCTAACCATGTACTTCACAAACTCTCGAAGCATTTCAAGAATGATTACCACTACATCAGAGAACAAGTGTTGGGTCTGATTGAGACGAAATACATACCGACAGCGGAGCAGATTGCAAATATATTCACGAAGTCATTGCCAAGGAAAGGATTCACACATTTGAGAGACAAACTTGGTGTTGGTTACTTATCCACGCCAAGTTTACGGGGAATATGAGCAACAATGAGTTGGGCCAGCCGGAGCTTCCCTGCAAAGTGCTAACAAGACAAAACAGAACAAGTACGCTCTTGCATGTGAAGGATTGTTGGAGACAAAACAGAGCAAGCATGCTCTTGTACGTGAAGGACCGTTGCAGAAAACACTTCTCGTCCAAAACAAATATGATGCTTTAGCATCTTTAGCTGGCAACGAGCCATAGACTTGTCCATAAGTGATAAGGATTTGTATTTATTCTAGATCGTTTTGTAAGCTCTATAAAGAGCAAACTATTTGTTCATTAACATCAAGCAAGTATTATTCAATAAAGCATCATTTTCTCTAAAGTTATCAATTGCCATGTAAAGTGTTTCCAAGGCTTGAACTGAAAAGCCATTGCAATCTTAGATCGAGAATCTAAAATTTGTTAACCACAACAAACGCGCTCCTCTGATGATATGGTCTGGCGTGGCAAAACTAAGACTACACAGACGTTGCATTTTGTTACTCTATTTACGAACGAAAATCATCACACTCCATACTGATTTCACATAACTCTGGTTCTTTTATCTGGGTTATGGCAATAGTGTTTAGTCTCAATCAACACCATGAGTTCGTGGGCCTTATCGAGTAGGCCTCAGGTCAAGTTTCTATTGGGCCGTGGGCCTCGTATCTTGACTGAAAAAAACTTAGGGTTCCTTCGTCTCTCTCTCTCTCTCTCATATAAATTCTCATTTTACGCCGCCTAACAGCTTCTGCGTCACACCGAAGGCCTCTCTTCCTATCAACCAGACGATCTGCGACTCCTCCCCGGCGGTGAAAAAATGGTTGCGGCAAAGAAGACGAAGAAGTCACATGAAGGAATCAACAGCAGATTAGCTCTTGTCATGAAGAGTGGCAAGTACACTCTCGGCTACAAATCTGTTCTCAAATCCCTTCGCAGCTCCAAAGGTAAAACAAAAACAAACATTTCTTTCATCGATTTGTTGTTAGTTTTAGTTGTTTAAGATGGATGTTTTGTGTTTAGGTAAGTTGATTTTGATCTCTAGCAATTGCCCACCGTTGAGGAGATCAGAGATTGAGTACTACGCTATGCTTGCTAAAGTTGGTGTTCATCATTACAATGGCAACAATGTTGATTTGGGTACTGCTTGTGGAAAGTACTTCCGTGTTTCTTGCCTCAGTATTGTTGATCCTGGTGATTCCGACATCATCAAGTCACTTCCTGGAGACCAGTGATTGTTGATTTTGTTATGATGTTGCCATGTTTTGTCTGCTTATTGCAATGTGTTCTTGAAAAGACAGTATGTTTGGTTTCTAAACTGGTTAATTACATTTTCGTCTCTATTTATGGTTTCGGTTGCAAGAATGAAATACTTGTTTTAGGTTTAACTTTTTGTCCGAACGCTTGCTTAAACCGTAATGCTCAAGTAAGGCCAAAGTATTTCTTAACAACCGAGAAAAACGAGTGGAATGTGGTCATTCTTGCTGCTGTTTTGCTACCCAATCAATTTTTTTCCCATGTTCGGATCTTCTCTCTTTGCTATCTCTCATTTCTTGCTGGTACTTGGGCTTATATCTACTCCGGTTCCTGTAATAACATCATGAATACAACAGTCCTTTTCTCCCTGTTGCTCATCTTCGTTTTTGCCTCAGTATCAAGTCTGTTGACTGTTATGATGTCATCCTATCACTCTTTTTGTGTTCTTTAAAGACTTCAATTGCTATATCCTTATCATCACTGTTACATACATCATAGTTTATTCTACAAAATACAGAGAAAACGAAACTTGACATTTACTAACATCATCCTTGTGTTTTTTTTTTTTTTTTGGAAACACCATCATCCTTGTGTTCATAACATCTGACCATATATCAAAAATCTTTAACCCACGACCATTAAGAAAGAACCAGACACAGAGAAACTCTTCTTCCTATAGAAAACATTCTACACTTTCAGGGAGCCAAAGTGTTCGCTTGGCGTTCAAGAAACAAATTATCTCTCAAAAGGAAAACCACCAGTGACGTCTTTGTTATGTTCTTTGTCTAATCAATCAACCTGTTCTGTCTTCTTCTGAGACAACCTTTTCTTTGTCTCCATTATTGCTTCTTCTCTTTTCTTTCCTATCTCCTTCATCTCTTCCCGATACTTAGCTTCTATCTCCTCCAGTTCCTGTCTTATTCTTTCTTCTTCCTCAACGCTTACCGGATGAGTTGCCTCCTCTGTTTTTTCTTGATTGGAATCTTCTCCTTTAATAGCATCCATACACTGCTTGTATTCCTCCTCTGACCGTGGACAATCAGAGTTCCACGAGTGACGAGCCGACTCACAAGCGTCATGAAAAGCAGCCTCCTCTTGTCTCTTAGCTTCATTCTGATGACTTCTTGAGCTCTGATTCAGCTGCGAGTGAATAAGATGATCGACCGTAACATCAGTTTTCCATGTGGGTATCATGTTGACTAGCAATATATCTATCAGCTCAGCTATAAACGAGACGTTCTGGTCAGTTAACTCTAGCTGCTCAACCATCTCACTCGACACCTTAGAAGCAGTGTCACCTTCTTGATAGAACAAGAAATGAATGTTCCTCACTCGTCCTGCAATAAGAAACAGTATCAGCAGAATACATAAAACTAACTGATGGAGCTGAACCACAACGCCTCACCATTCTCATCTACTATTCGAAGAATCAACGAGACAGAATGTTCATCGTTTTCTTCTCCCTTGAGTACAAAGAAGTTCCCTCTCTTTGCACGTCTAACCTCAATACACCTAGATCCTGAGTTGTCGCTAAAGGTAACAATGGGGAGGTTGTTGTCTTCATCAAGATCCATAGACATTGATCTACTACGCCGTGCTGTAGGAGGGCCTTCAGACATAAGGCAACGTTCTCCAAACGCACCTTCTTTCGGCATTACAATGTCAGGAAGAGGCAAAGGGTTGTTCATCGTTAAACCATTTACTTGAAGGAAAGGGTCTAACAAAAGCTCCTTTGCTGATAACCTCTCGGATGCAGGAAGTAAGCATGTCTCAATGAACTGCTTTACTTCAGGGTCTTGAACCCTAGAGAGTGATGCAGGTTTTATTCCCTTGAAAAAACCACCAAGAACAAGATTAGGTTAAGATCTTGTCAACAAACTAATGAGTTTATAGTTAAACTCACCGATGAGACCTTCTTGTATATCTGAGCAGAGTTTTTGCATTCACAGTAAGGGTACTCAAATGTCACCATCTCCAACATACACATCCCAAATGCATAGATATCAGCAAGTTCGTTGTAGTTCTCATCGTATAGCTCAGGTGCCATGAACTCTGGGGTTCCTGTTGGTAAACATAGTAACACTTCAAAGTTTTAGTAAAAAGCAGAAGTGTGAATAGGTGAGAAATGTCCAGAAAAATATACCAATAACACTTTTGGCATTAGCTTGCTCCATGACAGTAGCTAGGCCAAGATCACCTATCTTCACTTCTCCATGGTTCCCGTTGATAAAGATGTTATCACACTTAAGATCCCTATGTATAATGGGTGGCTCTTGAGTGTGAAGAAATCTCAAACCCATTAGTATTTGTCTCGCCCAACTCTTGACAGCCTTCATATTCACCTTTCTGTGTTTCTTGCGGTAACTAAAACCAAAAGAAAACAATAAAGAGAAGCCAAGTTTAAGGGTGGTAGAGAGGAAGGGAGATAGATAGATACATACTGTCTGAGACTCCCTGAAGTGAAAAGCTCAGTTATGATGTTAACTGTCTTATTCTTATCATCGATCCATGAGTTATAGAACCTAATGATATTACTGTGCTTCAATGATTTCAAAAGACGCACTTCAGAGTACAGTCTCTCCAGGGAGTTTGGTGACTGCAAAACATCATCTATTCGTACTTGGTTCCACGCAACTTCAATCCCATCTACTTCGTCGAAGGCCTTGTATCTGGTTTATTCTGAGTTAAGGTTACAAACCGAGAGAAGATGCAAGAACATAGAAAATACTTGATATGAGTGTGTCTCAAGGGAGCTTCTAATTACAAAGAACACTCTCGTCTCAGAATATAAGTTAGGATATGAACCCAAGAAAAAAGGATACACAGTCTTGAATGCGCCTTTTCCGATAACCTCTTTATACTGAAAGGTGAATAACAACATAAAGATAAATCTATAACTCAAACCTTAATTTGTAAAAGCAAAACAAGACAAAGAGAGGTTGGACCTTAGTTAATCCATCTATGCTTGTTTTATAGTATAAACACACTTGAAAGTTAAAAGAATAGCATTCGAGGGATGTTGCTCATACCCGTATATATCTAAAAGTTGGATCAACTTCGAGCACCTCGGGGTCAGGAGGCTCTTGAAGTACAGAAGCATCCTCTGAACCATCCATACTTTCCTAAAGTTACCACCTGCAAAGCTTACAACACAAACAATTTCTAAACACACAGAATGTTCAGAGACATCCTTAGATTCTTTTCGAGTGCAACACTTGCAATACAGACAACAAGATATCATCTACACGCTACTACAACCTTAAATCCCCTTTTTGAAACTTCTCATCCTTTTATTATCTGAATAAAGCTCAGAACAACAAAAAAAAAATAAAAGAACAATAATCAAGTTCAGACGTGACAATATTGGATCGTGAAATGGTTTAAATAAAACCAATTCAATATTCTTCTTCTCAGATTGTTTGCCATCAATAATCACATCCAAGGTAGGCATAAACAACTACCATGAATCATTCTAAGAAACACCCACATGCGAAAATCGAGAGAGAGCTATATATGTGCCATTCACGTTCATGCATACAAATCATATCATGAAAAGGTTTTGTATCGCAAACAAAAAAAAATTGAGTTATATGATTCTGAGCCTCGAATCTACCTAAGAGGGGATGAAGCTTTTGTTCTGGTCTGAAAAAATAGCCAACCTGAGATACAAAACGGAACAAGGAGAGAAACAACAATGAGAGGAAAGATCAGAAACCCTAATTGAGAAAACCGATGGACGAAGAAGATGGAGCGACCAAGGAAAAAAAATAGAACAACAAATGTTTTGTCAAGTTTATCACCAACGATGATCTCTATTTTTAATAAGTAAAATAAAAAAAATGAAAAATCAAGTTCTAAAAACAGAGACACATCCCTGCCCATGCAAAGATGACGTGTCAATAACCATAAGACGAAGATGGACGCTCTGGTCCGAATAACAACATTTCAGAGTACATGATTTCTCATTCTCCTCATCGCCTTAAGCCTAAGATGTTACCGTCTTCTTCGTCCGTTGAGGATTCATCATATAAGTTCCTATTATTAACTCTGCTAGACTCGTCCTGACGATCTTCCATTTCAGATGAGCCAATCTTGATGTCACGGTGTTTAACTAGAAGCCAGCGCAGGAGTTTGTCTTCCTTGTTGAGGTAGTGAAGCTCCTTGTTTATGTTTGGTGTTGCCATCATTGTTATCTGCATCAATTGTCCCTGCGCCATTCACCCATATATTAATTATATATACAGTCAAAGCTCCTCCAACGGCAGAAAATGGTACTAAGCGAACCCGTGGTTCTGCATATTTAGTGAGAGATAAGAAGCTACGAAAGATGCATGTTCAGGATGCATGTTCAGTTTTCACTGTATACTTTACTAAAGAGACATAGAAGATTGATGTCTTAAGCTTGTGCTGATATTCTCTAATAGGTGCTAAACTATCCCCATTCCCCAACAATTCCAGATGTTCTTAAATCACGTAGACAGAGTATAAACTCAAGTAGGTGGTGAATCAAGAAATCCGTGTGAATAAGATTCATGATTCAATTGTTCATGTTTGGGATTGCCATCATTGTCCCTGCGCTATTCAACCATATCGTTATATACAGACATTCAAAGCTCCAAAGCAGAAAACGGTACTAAGCGAACCAGTGGGTCCGCGTATACTCTACTAAAGACTAGCGACATAGGAGATTGGCGTCTAAAGCTTGTGCCTATATTGATAAGTAACACAACTATCGCCAACAATTCCAGATGTCTAAAGCTTGTGCCTATATTGTTTGAACCAGATTATCTTTCAGCAAGTGATGGCATTAATAAATCTAAACACTGAAGATCCAAAAACACAAACAAACTCTTAGAACAATGAAGCAGATCACAAGAACTCATCTAGAATCCTTAGATGTTCAGTTCTCCTCATCCAGATTATCCTAAAATCATCTAGACAAAGTATAATCTCAAGCAAGTGAATAAACAATCTTTGTGAAATTCACAATTCAACTCAAAGCTTAGTTCTTTAGTAATATCAATCAATCAGAGATATGTAAAAGCAAATATTAACCTAAAACCCTAAAATTACCACTGAATCGGCCTGCAAAACCCTAATCAAACAAACAAACAAACAAACTCAATGGACTCAATTAGTCACTCGATTCAACAAGGAAACTGAAACAATCTACCTGATAATGTCTTCCGTCGAGCTTCCTGATACCGTAACCCAATTCGACCTTGCCGAAGGATTTGACCTCCGTGAGGACGCCATTTTTGCTGTAAACGTGTTTCCCGATGCGCGCAACGAGATCGATCAGACCTTCCTTTCGGATTATCGGCTTGAACAGAAGCATACAGTCGTACAGAGGCATTTTCGAGATCTTCGTTTTCTTCTCCCTTCCGACGAGAGAGTGAATACAGAGAAAAAAAGAAGAAGATTAGATTTGGAGTTTTACATTAGGGTTTTAGACTTCCAGATTCGAAGAACGACACCGTATTGTTTTCTTGTTCACGCTGAGTACTTTTAACTGTGGGACTCACCTGACTCATGCGGTTACAATTTTTGGTTATTGGATCAAAAAGATCATGATTAATCTCAGTCTATTAATTGATATTCTTTGTGTCAGTTAAAATATAATTTTTAATTTTTCTTAGATTTTAACTAATAAAACTAAAAAACATCTCTTAAATAAAAGATAAACTGTCATTTAATCCAAAAATATATATATCAAATTATGAATTAAAAATCTCGATTAAGAAATCAGATTAATCATGCTCATCTACTCTATTAAAAAAGAGTCATTCCTTTTATCTACTGATATAATTAAGTTGTCATTTAAATTTGAACCTCTTTTAGATTGTTACAAATAATACAAGTCATATAATTGATTGAACCGTATTACTTAAATTAAACCGGCAGTTATGGAATAGAGTTTTGGGCTTACTTTTGTTTTTATGACATTTAATTGTTTGGTTTTTGGGCTTAGTATTAAAGAAAAACTCCAAAAAACATTAAATAAATTTTCCACCTTAATGGATCAAAAATCAATTACTATTTTCAGGCCCAAAAATATTTAATATTTTCAACAAAACAAAATTATCTATTATTAATCACTTATTTAAATCATGTACTTTAAAACATGTTAATATTTTTAGCCCAAAAATATTTAATATTTTCAACAAAACAAAATTATCTATTATTAATCACTTATTTAAATCATATACTTTAAAAAATGTTAATATTTATTATTTTAAATAACAATCACTCTATCTTGATAAATTTTAATGGTAACTTTTAAATATTTTATTGTTTTATTTTTCTTAAATAATTTACAGATTTAAAAAAAAAATGTAAAGCAAAACCAAAAACCAAATCTAAAAACTAAAATCCAAAACCAAAAACTGAAAACAGTTATATTTTTTGCTTTTTTATTTACAAAATAAACTATTTCATAAATTTTAGAAAATTATTTTGTCATCTTTTCAGTTTTAAATTACATGTTCGATTAATTTAGATTTGTTTGTTGGTAATATCAGTTCAAACTAACTCAGCGGGTCTAAAAATTAAAAACCCAAACCAAAAGCTGAAAATCAAAAATAAAAATTTAAAAAGTAAAAACCAAAAACTAAAATTTAAAACAAAATCTAAAAATAAAAACTAAACTAAAAACTAATGAAAAATAACTATCACCACAAATTTTGGTAAACTAATTTTATACCAAAACATTCTTTAAATTAAGACAAAATCCAATTATATAAATTTTTAATCATAAAAAATTTCGCGCATTTTAAGCGCGGATCAAAATCTAGTATCAATTATTGAAGAATTCACGGGGGAGAAAATGGTTGCATGAGAATGAAATAACCTACATAGTAAAATAGATCTAACCTTACTGGCATGCATAATTGTCTACCCACGAAAACAAGATAAGTAACTAGATAAAAACACTAATGATTCAATTTAAGTGATTTTTCTATCGGTTGGATATTAAAAATTTCCTTAAAATCTGTTTGAATAAATCTGAACAAATACTAATGCATTCAGTAGTAACAAGAAACACGTAAAAAAATCAAGCTTCGACTCCAAAACAATGACTTTCACGGCGTCTTTTCTTGGTCTTGGTTCTTAGAGGAGGAAGGTCTAGCTATATTATTGATCTTATTAAGCAACACATACCTTCCAAACATATTATATGCTGCTTTTGAAAAAAAATATATTCTATGCTACATATATGTACGCAAAACTAGAACTTATTAATTTCGATGTGGAAAACAGTATTCTTGAAATCTCTTAATGCACTACAAGATTATATCAGAATTCTATAACTTATCATTAGGCTACCACTACAAGAAAACAAAGCATTTACTAGGAAATTTTACTAGAAAAATTCTTCCTCGTAAATTTACTAAGCCTTTACTAGGATCTTACGAGGAAAGCAAATTTCCTCGTAAGTTCCTCGAAAACTTACGAGGAAACACTTTCCTCGTAAGGCCTTAGTACATTTACGAGGAGATTACGAAGAAAAAGTACTTTTCCTCGTAAGGCCGTTGTAAACACTTTCCTCGTAAAGGCGTAGTAAAATATTACTACGAAATTAGGAGGAAATAATTTCTTACTACGAAATTAGGAGGAAATAGATAGGAAATATCGAATTTAAATAAAACACATGTTTTGTACCTACTTTTCCTAGCAATTTCCTAGTAAATGCTCAGATTCAAA